CGTGGAGTCGGTTCCGATGCATAGTGACCCTGTACAGGGTTTCCGAGGCTGTAAATCTTCACGGGAGCTGAAAGCCTTATCTTTCTCCTGCAGAACAGCTGGTAGACTTGAACTGCCGACCTTGAGGTTAGCATCCCGATTCGTAACCACTACGCTACCAGAGCTCCTAACATTGGGATAATTTTGTTTAATAAAGCTTTCTGGCAGCCCCTCCCTCCGCAGGTGGTTTATCAGGACCTCACCTGGTTGCTACTAGGAAGACAGTATGACTTTCTGGCTTAGCCAGCCCCCCACCCACTTGAATCAGAAACCTTTAGGTGTGGTCTGGCGTCCTCTCCAAAGACGCTGAAGGCACTGGAGCAAGTAGAGTGCTTGCTTGAGAGGTTATCACTTTCTCAGAAACCAAAGATAAAGACGAAATTCTTTGCCTGTGGATAAAGTTAACCCCACATTAGCCTATCTCAGAAATTTGGGAAAAGAATTGGAAATATCTGTGATTTGCTGGGTAGCTTCCAAAGTGGTAGCCTTCTCAGTTGTCAACCATGAGTTTTGAATGATCTTACAGTGATAATCAGCCAAAAAGAGGAAGACCCTAACTAGATGGATTGGCATACTGGCAGCAGCAGTGGACTTTACAAACCTAACAATTGGGAGGACGGCATGGGTCTGGCCACTGTTTTGGTCTGCTCTGCATAGGGTTGCTAGGAGTCGGGACTGACTCAATTGTACCTAACACCACCACCACCAATGTTCTGCAAGGAGTCGACTGGTCTCAGAAGCACATGTCTCTCACTTCACTGAGAAAACAGTTAGGGCTGCGGATGACTTCTCAGAACACTGATTGCTGTATTGGTAGCTTTTGATTGTTTAGAAAACAGCAGTCATCTTAGCAGAGATCCCACACTACAGTGATCTTACCTCGGAAGATTCTTCTCAGGATTCAGATGTTGTTAAGTACTGTGGAGTCGGTTCCAACTCATAGTGACACTGTACAGGGTTTCCGAGGCTGTAAATCTTTACGGGAACAGAACGCCTCATCGTCCTCCCACAGAACTGCTGGTAGTTTCGAACTGCTGACCTTGAGGTTGACAGCCCGACTTGTAACTACTGTGTTACAGTATTCAGATGTTATTGTTGTTGTTAAGTGTCATCAAGTCGGTTCAGACCCATAGTGACCCTGTATAGGGTTTCCGAGGAGCAGCTGGTGAGCTTGAACCGCCAACGTTGCAGTTCAAACGGCTTAGCAGTCTAGCACATTAACCCACAGCGCCACACCAGGACTCCACAGTATTCAGATGATGTTGTTGTTGTGAAGTGCTGTCAAGTTGCTTCCAACCCATAGTGACCCTGTATAGGGTTTTCAAGGAGCAGCTGGTGAGCTTGAACTGCCGACCTTGCAGTTCAGACGGCTTTGCAGTCTGGTGCATTAACCCACAGCGCCACCCCAGGACAGGTGGTGATAAATAGTTGATGTAGTTGCTCTTCAGTGAGTGTGTGGTTCATTCATTGTGGAAGGCTTATAATAGTGCAGTACTCCTCAGGCTCGGAGCTTTATCATAGACTTGCTGGCGTTCTTCTCTGGTGGAGAAAACCAAGTGATAATGCTTTTAACAATTTCAGGTCAGTGTCTTGTATATTCTCCAGTATGGAACAGTAAGTTCTCAGCTGAATAATTACAAGCCTCTTGATCCCTCTACAATTGCTCTTTCTGATGCTTCTTGCTTTTTGGAGTGTGCATTGCTGTGGCTCATCTTGGTCCAAAGACGTGAAGGTTCTCACAAGGCCAGTATTACCCATATAGTATGAAAACTATGCCAACCTCCTCTCGGGAGTTCTGGTCTTCAATGCAGGTGGCTCACTCTTTAGATGACATCTACTTCTTGTTGTTGTTAAGTGCCATCGAATTGGTTCTGACTCATACTGAGACCCTGTATGGGGGATTTCTGAACTGCTGACCTGTATTGATCCACCCCATGCCCTAACTAAAGAGCTTAATTATCAGAGATTTATTGAACACTTACTTCAGTCAATTGATGAATATGAGGACATACTACACACGACCCTAACTACTTATGACTGTGTAGGAAAGGAGATGGAAATGTACATATTATTGACAATAGGATATGCTATGTATGCTACAGGCATAAAATGTGGGACAAATTCTGTTTTAAGATATTTTGGGAAAGATGTAAGACGTCAACCTGGTGGGAAAGAATGGCTTTCCAGGCAGAAGAGAACAAGGACACACAGGTTTTGTTCTGGAGCCTGGAGCCAGGTGGTAGGAGGCTGCATCATGTATTGCGGTGGCCCTTCGAGGCTATGCTAATGGGTGACAAGGTAAGAGCTGTTTACACAGTGGTCATTGTGGCAGTTTCATGGCGGTAGGTTAAGTCCTGTATACTCAGTCTTACTAGGAGGACAGGTTGGGACTAGAGTCCTAGGGTGCTTTGAATCGGAATCAACTTAACACAGTGGGTTTGGGTTTGATTTAGGGCAGTGGAAGTGAATATAGGGGGCACATTTAAGAGAGATTTGGGGGTGCAACTACTTCACAGGATGGGATGAGGGAGAAAAAGGAGCCAGGGATACCTTGAGTTTTCGTTGTTGTTAGGTGCCATCAAGTTGGGACCAATCCATGTCGACCCTCTTTAGGGTTTCCAAGGAGCAGCAGGTTTGCAGCCCAGCACATGAACCCACAGTGCCACAGTGGTTCTTTTGGGGTGGTGGGAAGAGTGGCTCGGAATGTGGTTGTAGCAAGCACAGCAGGCTACTTGCTGAGAGATGCTCAAGAGAAAAGGATGCCAGAACTAATGGATTCAACATAGATGGTTGCACCTCCTGCAAAGACCCATCTGTGCTTAAGAGTAGGTTCAGCTGTATACATACGTGAACCAGATCAGCGGATCTGCACCGGTAAACACAGATCACGTGGGCACTTATGTTCATTGAGAAGTCCTGGGGTAGTGCTGTGGGTTAATGTGCTGGACCGCAAGGTCAGTTTGAACTGCAGGGTCGGCAGTTCAGACTCACCAGCCACTCCTTGCAATCCCTGTGTAGGGTCATTATGAGTTGGAACTGTCTCAGCGGCACTCAACAACAACAAATTTGTTGAAGCCACAGTTATTGGTACTTCTCAGACATAACTAGACACCTCCCAAGATTGTTTGCCTAGGTTTGAAAGCATAGGAACATAGTGTTACGGGACGGTTCTGTCCATTGGTATAACATAACTGGCAGAGTTATGTTTTGCTGTGAAGCTTGTCTGTTGTGGCCATTTAAGATAATACAGCTATTAGTACCTGCTAATCAGGAGTGAAGGAGATAGATATAAAGCTAACCAGAGTCTCAGAAGGAATGACTCGTCATGATTGTAGATGGGGGTGGGGGGGTGGGCAGCTACCACCGTTCATCAGTTTGACCAAGTTCATATTAGATGATTCCAAAAAATACAGACCAAAACTCAGATTCCACAAAAGTTCACATCAGCTGGGACCACTTGAGACCAGGAGGACCACCTGAGAGTATGTCCTTGAGACACTTTTTAACCCTTGAACCAGAGCGATCCCGAGATCACCTTTTAACCAAAAAGCAGAGCCCCACCCACAGTAAACGCCCTGGACTGCAGTGTCACTTTGGATGGTAAGGACGGTGGTTCAAGCTCACCAGCTGCTCCTCGGAACCCCTACACAGAATTACTGTGAGTCGGAACCCAACGCGGTGGCACTGAACAACAATATCAACAATCTGTCCGATGGGTCGGTGCTCTACTAGAAAACCATATGTAGCCGAGTCCTGGGGTGGCACTCTAGGTTCATCTCTGGTCTTTTAGCTGCAAGATTGGTGGTTCCAACCCACCAGCTGCTGCTCCTCAGTCACCCCATAGAGGGTTGGTCTGAGTTGGAACCAACTCGATAGCACTTAACAACAACAACAACTGAGTCCAAAAGGCCAGCATTTAACCCAAAGTAAAGATGAGACTCTATGGAGGCAGGGAAGTGGAGTGCTGGAATGGATCAACCAGAACGCAGTGAAAGCCGTTATTGGCCCATTGTGACTACATACCTTACGTCACTGGTCAGTCTGTGTGGAGATTGTCACACAGGAGCTTGACTTGTGCAGACTTGTCTCCAGAAAGATTAAAAAAAAAAAGACTAAAAAATGAAATGTGTGAAAATTGTCAAATGGGAACTGAATATGTTGTATAAACTTTTACTAAAAATATAATAAAAATTACTAGAAAAGAATAAGTAAGAGCTGAATGCATTCTCCAGTATTTACTTGATGTATGATTGATTGCCTGATAAGGTACTATCCTTCTGTTAGCTTAAGTCAGTATGGAGCTGCTGCCCTTCCTGAATGGTCCATCCTATCTCCTGTCTGCAGAATGGCTTTTCTGGCCTTAGGAATCGTCCTCCTTTGAGGATGGGTCAGGAGGAAGAGTCCCGAGGGGCCTGGCTGTTGACCATATGAACGTTTCCAGGAGACTCTGCAGCGGTTTAGGTTGCTCTGTCATCTCGCTGGAGTACTGGTGTGCTGTCAGATGTGCCCTGGACCATCAGGGTGATTTGAACTGCAAGGTGGTGGTTCAAACCCACCAGCCGCTCCTTGGAAAACCCTATAGAGGCTCGCTATGAGGAGGAACCGACTCAGCCAGTGGCACTTAACAACAACAGTAACATCCTTTTACTCAAAGAAGAGGGTGAGGAAACTGGGCATGCACCAGGCTGCTGTTGGTGTCTGAGAGGTGTGATTAATAGAAAACAAATGGCCGCCTCTGTGGTCTCAAGTTGGTCAGCCTGAACACTGCTTAGACAGGTTTTCAGAACCAACAACTGTTTTTGGAGGCGTGCCTGCCTTTTGTTTATGAACGGGTGAATAAAAGTAAGTATGACAAGGATAGGAGACTTTCACCAGTATTTTGGAACACAGAGACGGAATTAATCTGTTGTCCCTGAACTCATCCTAACGGCCGGCCTTTCCCTTCCCTTTCAGTTCCTGGAATAGATGGGGGCGCCCTAACTGACACTAGTCTCACGGACTCCTATTTCAGCACCAGCTTTATTGGAGTCAATGGATTTGGAAGCCCCGTAGAAACAAAATATCCTTTGATGCAGGTATGGTTAGTACGGATTTATATTGCACTCAGCCCTGATACTTATTTCAGGGACAGAGGCCGTTTGGAGTCTCCATCTCGTCCTATTCTTGTTGAGTGGGAAGCAGGACAGTAGGAGCTGGTGAGGTGGGTGGGATACAGAGAAACCGTCTCTGGTAGCGTAGTGGTTACGAATCAGGCTGCGAACCTTAAGGTCAGCGGTTTGAAACTACCAGGCGCTCCGTGGGAGAAAGATGAGGCTTTCTACTCCCGTAAAGATTTACAGCCTCGGAAACCCTGTACGGGGTTGCTATGGGTCGGAACCGACTCGACGGCACTTAACAACAACAACAACAACGGTTGCAGACGGGTAGCGTGACAGTGGAGAATGTAGAGGGTAGACATTTGTGCCTCTCCTCTCTTGTTTTCTGTGGCTCAGGGAGACTCAGCTAGTTCATGGAGTCCTGGGGTGGCGCTGTGGATTAATGCACTGGACTGCAAAGTCAGTTTGAACCAAGATTGGTGGTTCAAGCTCACCAGGAGCTCCTTGGAAATCCTATACAGGGTTGCTATGCGTTGGAACCGACTTGATGTCACTTAACAACAACAACAAGTAGTTCATGGCAAACTGGAATGAAGATAATGGCGTTTTTCCACAAACTTGCTGAAACCCCCTCTTATATTGTTTTTATTTTTTTTTTAAAGCTGGAAGTTTGTTGTTTTTTTTTTAATTTATAGGATGCTTTATTTTGAGTTATGTGATAGTTTACATGGGAGGACATTAGTTTCACATTAATCCCATCGTATATTGTTTCCTTGCCATGGTTACAATCCCCTTCATGCATCATCCACCAACCGCAGGGTATACCCCACAAGCCTGACCCCCAGTCGTCAGCACACAGACTGCCTCCCTCTCCGGGTCCAAAGTCCCCAGCCACTCCATCTCTCTGCATCATTGTCTCTGCCTCCATCTCTGGCATCACCACTTCCCTGGGTAGGGTTCCGTTCTCTGCTCTTCTCCCTGGATGGTCCCAGGGACCTCTGCCCCTAGACTGCAAAGTTAATCCCTCCCCTCACTTTGCTTAAAATGTCTACCTTTACATTTCCAGCCCTCACAATTAGTCCTGATAGCGTAGATTATTTAAACTTTGCAGTGATGGTAGTTTGGAGTAGATAATGTGGCCTAATGCATGCAGAAGGATGTGTGGTGAAGAGTGTCTCTCCCCGCACCGCACATCAGGCTAACTCGAGTCTGAGGTCACCTTTCTAGAGGCAGCTGTCATTACTGGGTAGCACACGAGTTACTGGTTTCCCGTGTGTACTTTCAGGAAGATTCGGTTCGTATACAAGCATGTTAATTGGTTTTATTTTACTTAAATTTTTAATCTCCGCCCCCTGATGCCGTCACCTTATTTTCTAGCTCTTTCTTGAATTCTAGTCTAGAAGGCTTTGATTTTGATTGCCCCGGACGTTAAAGTCCCAGTATTTGAGGGAGCTCCGTTTACGTTAGAGGGCATCTTTGAATTGTTCAGTTACCTACTTGGTTCTTTTCACCAGTACTCTTTTCTTGCATGCCATGCAATGCCGAGGAAGTTGTTTTAGATGGGAAAAGCGGCATTTGGTAGAATTGTCCTGAAGTTGGAAAGCATGCCACTGTTGGCCATGGGAAACGCTCTTCATATTGCAGTTGGTGTTCTGTGATGCTCTGCTTTGGACCGCTCTCTCCATAACCACAATTGTTGTTGTTGTTGTTGTGTGTCATCAACATCAGTTCTGCCTCATAGTGACCCTGTATAGGGTTTCCTAGGAGTGGCTGGTGAGCTTGAACCGCCACCCTTGTGGTTCAAACCGACCTTGCAATCCATCACTTAACTTAGCCTGCAGTGCCACACCAGCACTCTAACATAATCATTTTTTTTATAAATAAAAAGTTAAAACATACAGAAACACATTGATTTTCAGTGAAAAATCCTCACTGGTTTTTGGATCTCCTGTTATAATCACGGTGGTGGTGGTGGTGTGCCGGGGAGTTGGTTCCCATTCATAGCGACCCTACTTAGGGTTTCCAAAGCTGTAAATCTTTACGGGTGCAGAAAACCTCATCTTTCTATCGAGAAAAGACTGGGAGTTTTGAACTGCTGACCTTGAGGTTAGCAGCCCGATTCATAACCACTATGCTCTCAGAGCTCCTGGAATCACAGTAGGAGACCTAAGGAAATCAGTGCAGTTCTGTATGTTTTAATTTTTATTTACAAACAGTTGAGATTTCATGTAGACAGGCACACTGTAAGACAGTTGGATTATAAGCATATGGTGGTGATGGTGGTTGTATGCCTTGGAGTCGGTTCTGACTCATAGCGACCGTATACAGGGTCTTTACAGGAGCAGAAAGCCTCATCTTTCTCCTGCGGCATAGCTGGTAGTTTCGAACTGCTGACCTTGTGGTTCGCAGTCTGATTTGTAACCACTACGCTACCAGAGCTCCTTATGAGCATATGAGGGGGTTCAAAAAGTTTGTTGGAAAATGGAATGGAATTTTTTCACAAAATGCACAACTCCCTCCCCCCCCCCCAAGCTTTCTTTTTTGGATGCATAATTTAACTACTTTTGTGGTTAAGTGCCGGTTAAGTGGCCGTTGAGTTGATTCTAACCCGTAGCGACCCTGTATAGGGTTTCTAACCCATAGCAACTTTGTATATGGTTTCTGAGGAGCAGCTGGTGAGCTTGAACCACCGACCTTGCAGTTCAAACAATTTTGCAATCTGATGCATAAGCCCGCAGCACCACACCAGGACTCCTTAACTACTTTATGTATGATTAATTATACGTTTTCTTATTTTTGACTAGTATGTGCGCCACATGCTTTTCATATTTATTATTATATTTAAAGCACCTGTAGGCCCCCCCCCTCCATTAAAAAAACTGCAGATTTTGCACTAGGGAAAGTGTGTGGTCAGTCTCAGGGTTACAGAGTTACAGCTGGAGCTGGACTATCAGTCCAGAGCTCCTAACATACTCTTTAAAGCACTAGGTTAGAGAACCAGTAGGAAGCAAGGACTTGCGGACAGGGGCAGGTGGACCTTCCGGAATGGAGAAACTGGAGAGGCTGTGGTGTGAATCCAGAAAGCCTGTGGTATAGCTAGAGAACGGAGAACAGACCAGTTTTATAGGCTCTGTGTGAAGTGGAGTCCTGGGGTGACGCTGTGGGTCAATGTGCCAGACTGCAAAACCATTTGCACTGCAAGGTCGGTGGTTCAAGCTCACCAGCTGCTTCTTGGGAACCCTATATAGGGTCGCTATGGGTCGGAACCGATTCGATAGTACTTAACAACAACAATAAATAAAATGTGGTGCTGCAGGGTAAGAACTGGACTGCTAACTGCAAGGTCGAGTGGTTTGACACTCAGCAGCCACTCCTTGGGAACCCTATAACAGGGTCACTGTAAGTCAGCACTGACTCAGTGGCACTTAACAACAACAGCACAAGGTGTTGGGAGGGTAGTAAGCACTGCGAGAGGGTGCCAGAGGCTTTGTTAACGGTATCCACAGCCAGCTGGTGCCTATCACAACTCATCCACGTACACAGCCTTGCTTTCCTTTAAGGAATCTTATTCCAGGAATATGAGAACTCTGAGGAAACTTGGAGCTTATATATGTCTTGCCAAAGCTAATAAGTTGTGAAAGTGGAAATCAAAATAGCTCAGCAACGTTGGCTTTAACTCACTGAACGGTGAGTAAAGTTTTCATTGGGTGTGCTGTAGAGTCTGGAGAGATGGCGTGGAGGGGAGGAGGTAAGGAGAGGCAGCCTTAACTGAGTTGGCTCCATGCTCTTCATGCTGTATTCCTCAGTGATGTGATGTTTATTTTGCAGAGAATGACTAATAGTAGCAGCTCGCCAAGCCTTCTAAATGACAGTGCCAAGCCATATGCAGGCCATGGTAAGACACATTGCCTTTCACTCTTCTGACTTTCAAATCAAAACAAATACCCATGGTAGAAATTATGGGAAATAGAGACAAATGTAAACAAGAAAACCCCGGCTATTTTCCCACTCCGATGGCTGTTAGGGTTAGGTTTTTATCCTGTTTCTATCTCTGTCTCCACCTATGTGTGTGTGTACATAAGAGGGTGAGTGGTAAAGTATTGCTCCTAGGGCGATTCCCAACAAGCTGTTGAAACAAGTCTCTGTGATCAGTGGACAGCCACAGACAAGTTTGCTCAGGAATCCGCTTGTCTTAGTCTCACTAGGGTGCCTTTAAAAAATGGTCTGATCAAAACAGACTGACTGAGGGCATCTGCTGCTGGCGAGTCGGTTCTGACTCCGAGTGGTCGCACGTAGGGTTTCTAAGGCTATAAATCTTTATGGGAGCAGAAAACCTCATGAGTCTCCCATGGAGTGTTTGGTTGGTTTGAACTGCTGACTTGACACCTAGCAGCCCAGCACACAATCACTATGCTTACCAGGGCTCCTGAGGGCATCTGCTGGGCCAGTTACATTCAAGGCACAGAGGTTAGCACAGAAGGTTAAGGTGACTGTTTTTCTTGAATCACTAAAGGGTCATCTTGATACATTTTCTTAAGGATGGATGCAGGATGATTATGGGAGCTGATTAGGAAGAAGTTTTAAGAAAATGGCAAACTGCATTAGTGAGGAAAAGGCCAGGAAATTATGCCAAGGAATTTTTTTTTCCCCCATCATGACAATTCACCTGCTCAGTCTTTGAGAGTAACAAGGGCTGTTGTCATGAAAACTCATTGGGAAATCTGACTCTTTCTGCTCCCCAGCCTCGATCGTACCCCTTCAAACTTCTCTTTGTTCCCCAAATTAAAAGGAACATTGAGAAGGAACATGATTTGACTCAAACTACCGAAAATTACTGAAGAAATTCTTTGCGGGGAAGGATGAGAGGAATGGAAACATGCCTTCAGAAGTGTGTAGACCTGGGGAAGGCTTTAGGCTGAGAAACACTGGCTTCTTGTCTTGATATTTTTGCTGAATGAAGGTTTCCATAATATTGCAGCAATACTTTTTGATTTACCCTCGTATGTATATACACATATGTGTCATAGTAAGCATGTCTTATTATAACACAAATGCTTCTCCATCATTATCAATTAAATTCCATGTTTTTGTTTTATAGTTTACTTAACTGTCTTTGTTTCTGTTTTTAAAACTATTACATTTCAGTGTATGCATAAATTTCTGTTCGTATTTTGGGTTTCTTTTGAATATATTGTTTAAAGTAGATTTACTGTTTCAAAGATTGTGGCCACCTTATATAGTCTTTTGATACAGACTTTCCAGCTGTGTTTCTGTATCCCATTTTAAGAATAAATACTTAAAAGGATGGATTTGGTTAAATCTGTGACCATTTGAGCATTTTTGCACCACATCAGTTCAAACGTGTTTACAGACATGGATAGTGGTGAGAGTAAGAATTTGCACTTTAATAATGTCCTGTAAGGGAGAGTTTATGTGTGGGTGTCAGGCAAATCTCCATCACTAGCTGGAAATTTCAACTTTGTTTCTTTAATGTTGAAAAATATTACTAAGACTTGTGTGTAATACTACAGTACTTTTTGCTTTCCTGTATAGGTGAGATGCTAACATTTAAATGCCATCAATGATAGCTTAGGGGATGACTAAAGCTACCTATGTTTAGTCCATTAAATGTTTATAAATTAAATAAGAATATTTTATATCTTGCTGTTTTATTAGTCTCTTCCACTTTGCATGATTAGTTGTTTACTATTCAATGAATAATATTAATATCAGATCGATTTGATGAGTAGAATTCATATTAATGCTAATGGGAACCAGATCCTGGAAAGCTGGCCAGGAAATGCCAGAGGAAGCCGGCGGCAGCCTCCGTCTGCTGCACGATGTGTAGGCATTAAGCATCCTTTGAGTGAGGGCACATAAGCATTTATTTCTGCAGTTTCACAAATAATGAGACTGAGAAGCATCAGATGAGCTAAACTCAGAAATGAAGCTAAGATGTTATAGAGTATTTCCTGCTGACCTTTCCCAGAGCTTCTCATCTGTAAAGGAAGAAACGATTTACAGGTGTCATTTTGTTTGTAACTTCTGAAGGCAAAGTGATAGAACTTTGAACCTGTAAAATATTTGGGTTTCATGTTTGCGTTTTGAAACATCTAATAGCTCCATCTTAAAAACCTTAGCAATTTTTGTCGAATTTATTTTTCAAGACTTATCAAGTGACAAAGTTAGTAACATGGATTAATCCGCAGTGTAGGTGGTTTTAAGGTCCTAACCCCAAGTCAGGTCTCATTATAGGTGAACCACCCCCACCTTTTTAAATCCGTGTCCATGAATTGCCATTTTCTGTAGGCATACTTCCTTTAGTGTGTCACACACTCCCGATAAATGGCTGAGAGTCGTCTTGCTGATACTCCTTTTTGGTTCTAGTCAATATCCTAACCTGAATAGCTTCCTAACAAGTAGGTCCTGAGGACTGGCCGAACGCAGTCCGCTCCCGTGTGTGTTTTCTGCACTGAGAACATGGTTGAGCAGTAACTGGCATAGGAGACACTGAGCTGACTTAGTATTGTGGCAGATGCTTTTTATTGTTATTTAGACGTCGTCATTGATTAGATTTGTGGGTTACCTGAGTTGTCTATTTGGAAACGTGTGTAACTTACCTTCCAGATGCTCTAACTTCACCTGCTTCATCCTTGTTTAATGACTTTGGTGCCCTCAACATCTCTCAGAGAAGAAAGGTAGGTGAACCCTAAAGTTACCTGACGTTACGTCCCATTTAGACGGGTGCTGGGACCATGGCCCGCTTAAGGTCAGCCTTCTCTTAAGGAGGGGGAGGGCTTTTGATGGCCTGCAGTGGTTTTTCTGTTTCCTTATTATGTATCTCATGTGCGGAATTTGATTTGATTACTCTTTAAGATCATGGGGTCGGTCATGGAATTTCTGCATGGGATACGGAGGTTTTGATGTGAAGGGGTGGAATCCGACTGCTTGCTTTTGCCCTTTTTCTTTCTCTGACTGTTGTGTTTCTGAGAGTGCCTCTGGTGCCCTACCATGGTGGCTGGCGCAGGCAGCGTAACCCACAGAAGGCCTCTCGTTTTCAGTGTGTTTTCTGACACCCTTGTCTAGATTTCAGAGATTGTCCCCAAGTTAAACACCTCATGTGAGCATTACAAATCAACCTTAGAGATCAAAATTGTCCATAATTGACCCAACTGCTTTAAAAAAAAAAAAGCAATTAAAAAACCTTTTTCCTTCTTAGCGATGTAATTTTCTTTGGAGTTGAGGTTGGTAGACCAGGTCTAGATTTGTGATGTCCTTTGTTGGGACAGACTCTGGGATAAGCAGAAATGAGAACTTGATGTATTTTGATGCCTTTGAGCCTTCCTGAGAATCAGAACGTTCATTTCAGAGATCAGGAGCGTCTGCATCTTGATGGAAGCTGCTATGAAGTGAAACATTTGGTTTCCTGAGCAATGGTAGAAAGACCCAAGAAAAAAGAACACCAGTCTTCTTAGAACAACTTAGATATAAGCTGAAGTAAGAGTCTGCTTACCTAGAGTATGATCAGAAAGCATGAAAGGATAATTCAGGAAGGCCAGATGTTGTTTAGACAAAACATTTCTATGCAACTGACAGCACTTACATTCACACCTCACGGATCTGGTAAGGGCTCCGTTTTCAAACGTGCGTGTGAACAGGGGCCTCTGAGGCCGCTAGAGTTGATGAACTCAGACGCATAGGCCTGATTTGATAGGTGTCCACGCAGGCTCTCTCACCAAGAGCAGACATACTCACCCTTTGAATACTGTCCTAATGCATTACAACGTTGAGTTTCTGAGCCCATCGATCAGGAGTAGACTCGGACACAGAGCGTTGACAGGAGTGAGAAGTGACGTCAGTACGGAAGGCAACACCCCAATGCTGAAAACCAGAAACGTACAACCTGGAGCTGTTTAGTGCAGGAGATTGGAATAAAAAAGTCTGAGGCCCTCCCCACTCCCACCCCACCCCCAGTGGTCTTTCCACGTCGTTGAAGTAGCCATCAGCTAACTGTGATAGGTAGCATTCTTAATGTACAAATAGGAAATAAATTAGAATGATAAATGAATACTTTAGAGCATTGGCTAATAAAACTGCTTAGCGGACTGCATCTCACCTGTGAAAAATGCATGGTTTAGAGTTATTGGTATTTATTTCTGAAAAAGGAGTAAAGGTTTCTGGGGACTAGAACAGAGAGGATATAGTGGCCATTCTTTGAAAATTATTTTAGCAAAGGAAGATACTAAAAGGAATGGTGGTGTGCAGTGTGGTAACATGACTTTTTGGAGAGATGTTGAAGTCTCTTCTGACGGAGCAGATTCGTATCACAAAGCTCCTGGGCCCCTCAGCATTGTGACTGTGGCCCACTTTGCAGGCCAGAATCTGTCAACTGTGCTCGGGGCCGGGAGTGCTGCTCTGCTGCTTTCATCCCACAATTTAGTTAGTGTCTGTCTCATGGAGAGCATCCAAAAGCTTATGGCTCACGTCCTAAAGCTTGGAAGGACCATAATATCTTGCTATTTTCGTTTTAAGATGCTGTGTGCTCTGTGGGTACGTAGGTGCCCCCCCTCCAAGTTGTGAGCCAAATCTTTGTGGGTACAAGTTGCATATATATTTTAATTGTTAATAGTTGAGTTGAAAAGGTTTACAATTTCTTCATCTTAGACTCACACATGAGCTTCAGGAACATTGTGGAAAACTGGACTGAAGAGAAGATTGGGGTTTTTCCATGTACCTTTTCATGCCCCCTCGCACTCTTGCATGTCCCACACGTTGTGGATTGAAGGGTTATGAAGACTGTGCCCCTTTGCTATAGTACTTCATAATGCCTGTTTCATGTTGTAATTTTAGTGGCAGTAACTCAAAATTTTGTAAATATTTAATAATTTCAGTTTTCTCTAAGCCAGCCAAGTTGAATGAGATTTATTTCAGAACATGGGAGCACTGCTAGTTAGTTAGGGTCCATTTCCTACTACCACTTAGCTAGTTAGGGAAGTCATATTTACCTGTGGGGCATGGGAATCATTCAGCCCAGAGCATCTGTACAGCAGACAGGTTTTACTATGTGCTTCGTGGAAACTCTTGTTTTCTCTGTGTCCAGCAAATCTAACTAGAGAAACAGTCCAGGAACCTTACAGGGAACATTGGAGGAGCTGCATGTCATGAGTGGCAATTTGAATATCTGCCGATGGCTGAGTAACAGAATTCTCTAGCTCCAAGAGTTTGTGGAGAGAGAGGTTTGGAGTGGGCTGTTGGATGAGGAGCACAGAGAAACAAAGAAACCTAGGCAGAAGGTCCTGCGGACTGCTCTGGGAGGTGGGAATTATGGGAAATGCTCTCTTTCTTTCCCTGCTGAGCATCATGCTGAGGGCAGTAGGGCTTTGCTCTCCTGAAGTGCTTGTTGACATGTGGGCTATTAACGACAGTACACAGAGGTTCTGTGTCGTGGGACTCTTGTCCGAGCAGTGAACCACTTCCTGCAGCGGTCATTCGTCTTGTGCTGAGCCCTTTCCTGATGCCTACTGTTAGGAGTAGAATAGAAGTCTGTGAGGGAGGTGGTGGAAGAAGTTGAATTATGTCTGTGTGTTGTGTGGGAGGGGTAAGGCCCCCCCCCCCAATGCCCAGGTGGTGCTTTTCCTTGATTCTTGTTAACAAACAAGTTGAGAGTAATGTCCACATCCTGAGGAGCTCTTACAGCACGCTATCCCTCAAGTTCCAGTTGAGTCTTGGTCTGACAGAGTCAGAGAGGCCCTGCAATCACAGACATGACTCAGCTCATCAGTAAATGCCCAATAGGGAATCCCTGGGGACAAGACATCTATAACCAAGTTAGATGTTGGAACGCAGACAGTCACAGTGAAGCGATTCCTTGTCTTGGACATCCTACAAACTGTCCTTGCTAAGCCGTGAGTTCACAGAAGTGAGCCAGAGAGGGTTGATGCAAACCCTAAACCCAGAAGAGAAGCCTGTGGATTCTGGGTGTCTCCTTCCCGGCTGTCCCTTTGGAGTTGATTTATTTGGCCTGTGTCGCCCTTCACCCTCCTGTATTCATCCTAGTGGTTTCCTGTAGCCCTCTACCCCATGGAAGCAAAGCATGCTGGGTACATGTCATTTGCATTTATTTGGCTATTTTTCATTTGAATGTGAGGTTCTAAGCAATGTGCAGATTTCTAACTCTGTATTATTATTGTTTTTAAGACTATAATAACAAATGTGAATGCCTGGTGTGGCACCGTATGCTCAGCACTGGACTTTGAACCCCAAGGTCAGCGGTTCAAACCCACCACCGCTCCTCGGAAACCCTACAGAAGGTGGCTATGAGTCAGAACCGCCTCTACTGCATTTCACAACAACAATAACAAGTTTACTCCTCTGGGGTTTGGAGGCAGAGATTTCTGGACCACCATGTGTGTTTTTCTGTTCTGAATTTGAAAGCTCTCTGTTGGAATGAGGAAGTGAGCGTTTGTGAAGAGGTGCAGGTCGGGGAGGCCCAGTCCTGGCACTTCCTCAGCTTTCTTCCCTCTTGGAAGCCAGCCTGGGCTCCTTTCCCCACTGTGCTCGCTTTACAACGCCCACCCAGCTCTCTCTGTCTGTCCTACCAGACTTGCTAATGCTGGATTCTTTCTGTTTGCTGGCTGAGGTGACGGTGGCAGTGTTCACTGTTGCATTTCTGTTCCGAAGGCTCTGACAGGTGTCCTCCACACGATCTCTCCCCTCTCCTACAGCTTGTTGCTCCTGTTGGTGTTAGGTGCCATCGAGTCGGTTCCCCACTAAACCAATAGCTTAGGGAAGAAGAAGGAAGCCGGAGAGTAGTCCTGTACAGTTCTTTTATGGAGAAAGTGCAAGTAAATTGGAGACATTAACAGGATTCTAGCATTGGCTGTCTGGAAAGTAAATACTTGTTTAATCCTGCAACCACTAGGCCCTTTATGGAACATCAGACCAGATATTGATCTCAGGAAAAATAAAGATGAAGAGAAAATGGGGACCGTTGACAAAGAACACTTAAAGGAGGAGTTCATGTTCCACTTCATCTGTAAACCATTTTTCTAAAAAGCCTTTTTATTATGAATTGAGGGAAGGGTTACAGAGCAGAGCGTCAATTTTACATTCAACAAATCACATACTTTACTTTGTTTCATTACAGTGATGGTAATCCCCTCCATGACCAACAATTAGCAATATTTACCTCTGTTCACTTTCACTGTGCAGCCCTCCCTGTGCCTCCCAACTGTTCCGTGGGAGAAAGATCAGTCTTTCTGCTCCCGTAAAGATTTACAGCCCGGAAACCCTGTACAGGGTTGCTATGGGTCGGAACCGACTCAACGGCACTTAATAACAACAACGTCTGTCTGTCTTGTACGTAGCCTGCCCTATCACCCGTGCTAACATGTATCTACCCTCTAGCCTGTGAACGAACGTAAAACACTTTGTTTTCAGTTCTTTATATATTTATATGTTCTCTAACAGTGTTTTACTTGGTGTTTAGATTGCCCAGCTTGGCACGTTAATGTCTTTGACCTATGAGTGGTCGTTGGTGATTTTGAATTCCAAATTGATCCGTTCCTTTATTGGGATGACTGTTCTCCGGTCACCGCCACCACGTGTCAAGCATTGAGAGTGTGTGTACCATTCTGATTGAAGCCACAGCTCAGTGAGGTTTTTGACTTCGTGATGCGTATGTCTAAGGGACCTTCCA